TACAAAAACAAAAAAAGTAAGAGGAAGGGCTTTTATCATTCAAAAAAGGCTTTGCCATTAAAAATGGTCAAATTGAGATATAATCAGTAAAAATGAAAAGCATTCTAATATTACAAAACTTTGCATGGTATGAATATTTTCTGAAAACTGAATATGATTTTCATTTTAGAACCGGCAGAAGAAAAAAGAGAAATCAATGCCAGAATGTCACTTTCGGGAGTTCTGTTCTCTCTAATGTAGGCTTATGAGTGAATAAGTATAGGTAGTAGTAGTAATAGCTAAAAAGATGGCATTCATGTAAGAAAAGTTCTTGAGAACAGTACTCGAAAAAAACTTAATGGCCAAGCAGCTTCAAATAAAATGTGGACAGAGAACAGGAATGACAGATGAGTGTGAAGAAAGAAAGCAAAAGCAGAGTGGAGTCATTGATTACAAATCACTATGACAACAAACACATTACACTAAGAACAGATTGAACTAACGGTGACACCGACAGAAAAGAAGTAGATAAAGCAGACCAAACCATGAGGAAAGGAAGAGGGGTTTAGTTTTAGGATGAGTTTTATGGCACTTGCCACACAATATGGTCATATTTGTGCCGAATACAAGAGAGTAACAAACTTTTAAAAAAGAGGAGAGGTAAGGACGATAGATGTTTGATAGGAAAGAAGGAGCAAATCACACCGGAGCACCAGCCAAACACGTGCAGGAGAGGGGTGTAAGTTGAAATCTTCGACATTAAGTGAGGAATAGAAGCATGACGTTACATAATGATCCAAAAGTGAAGGGTAAGAGAAGTGAGCACAGCCTCAGTGAGATCAATTATAACAAAAACATCTGGTCCAGATGGGTGTTAAAATAGCAATTGAGAAAAGACCAGTATCTCAGGGTCTTAAAGCTTTTCTTCTCCGCTTTTGATAAAATTCTTGATTAGCCAGAAAACACCACAATAATAACATGTTGTATAACAGCTCCTTTCTGTCTCTTGAACAAACGCTCAGCAGACCCAAGGAGGAACCAACAGCATAAATAGCAAACCCCTCAAAGTGAAGCTGTGAGTGAACTTGCTTTGACATATGACATTGACATCAAATACATGTATTCTTTTTATGTTTAAAGTGGAAGCACAAAATACAAGAAAAGAGCACTTCAAATATTGGATAAAATGAGGATTTTCAGCATTACATGGACAAATAAAGCATGTAAAACCTGTACATTTTTCAAATTAAATAGCTCAGAGTATACATGTAAATAACTCAGCTCCTTGAGATCTGTCAAAGAAAAAATATCTTTAACCTTATGCTCGCATATCAACTTTTTGTCATTAAAAATTATGACATCAGATAAGATTTATGGAGCTAACATATGGCAAAGAACTGAGATAAGTTCGGTTAGAATCATTAATTTAAACTCTGATAAACTTAATAATAGACGAATTCTATAGAAAAAACAAATTTTGCAATGTGTGCAGCAAAAATTGAGGGGAGGGAGGAGGTGTATTTGTAAGTTTCTAAGTACACAATTAATCCAAGTGTTGACAGCATGGAAAGACTAGAAAATGGTACAATTTACTACACTTGAAAACCAATGTAGTAATAAACTTTTTACAGTTTGGAAATCAATATCAAATGGTTTTTCACCCTCCAGAGGGGAAGATTCTGCCCTACATTTCTTATCAGCTGGTCCTTTTCCAGGTTTGTTCTCATCAACTTGGACCTTCTTTTCACCAGCAGCGAGGCATCTCAACAACCTGATACGCTATATTTCTTTCTAATGACGTGAAATAAAAGTCAAAATGTAGCAGGAAACACAGTGATCCCCAATGTTATCTCTTGTGCTGTTATTGAGACTTCTCAATAAAATAGATTCTAATTATTTCTGATTTCTCAAAAGATTTACAAGATTTAGATGCTTGCAATCTCTGAACTTTATTGAAGAAATCCTCAAAGGAAGCTGTCATTCAAAACAAGAGGACCTATTCCATTTCAGTTCATATGAAAGCCCAAGTTGAGTAGAGGTAAAGTTTATGGCAGAAGAGCTCTTCAATAGAGCAGCTACACTTTGCTAGAACACAGTAAGGGACTACACAACCACAGAAAAAGAACTTCAAAGGGTAAGAAATACCAAAACAGCAATCAACCATCCAAGTTCATATTGTCACTGTGCAAGCAAAACGACACAGCTCATAGTTGGGACAGAATGCAACTGCCACTAGCCTTTTCTTTTGTTTGTGGTACTATATCTATTTTTTGGAAAAATCAAAGCAAAAATGTGCTAGCAGTCAAAAAAGAAATATGCTTGGCAAGTATTACCATTTTTGTATGATAAATAGTCTAGTTAAACAGGTTTTTTTCATTTACCAGTAGGCCTATCTCAAAAGTAACAAAAATGAGATGTGCCACTTTGCTAGCGCAGTCATGATAATGAGGTCTAGAGTATTCATAAAATGACAAATATGATGTGTAATGGTAATAAGAAAGTAGTCACACAAACATTTTGTTGCAACAAACTCTCTGACCAAAAGAAATCTATGAATGAGACATGTGGTCTGTCAAACACCACAGTATATATTTTCTCCAAAGGTCTGAAGATCTCTGGCGATAAAAAGTGTGTATTTCGGGCTGAGTAAATTGATACTATTATCAGAGATAATGTACATTGCATGGCGATATCTTATGGCAAAAGCTCAGGGGAAGTAGGTATAATGGAAGAAAACTACAAAAGACAATGTGAACCAAGAGCAGCTCATTGGCAAAATGTCAGGAGACCAAACAGAAGACTTGCCAACACCTTAAATACACTTTTAAAAGTTCGTAGGGGTCTAAATTTCATACAATTTGTATTATATCTATAAATCAGACCAAAGGGCTCCAACTCCAATGACTGCTGGATCAAAAGAATAATGTAAAAGTAAAGCATCTGCCTTTTCAAGAAAGATACTTTCAACCATATAAAATAATCAAAATATGAAGACATGTAAAAGTATTAAATTAATGCAATTTGAAAATAATACCCACGGGGAATGCAACAGTGCATGTGCTTTAGCAGAACTGACATCTGAACTCCAATTGAGTAACCTAGTCTGCAACTTAGTGAGAAGTGAACAGTTCCTACTATACCAAGCTCAAAACATGCATATATCTGCACACCTACCAAGAAAAAAACAATTAAGAAGCCACTATCCCAAAAAACACAGGAAGGGGAAAGGAGGAGGGGGGATCAGGTCAATACCGTAAGACCCACAGCTCACCAGCAAGGGATGCATTCTGCCAAACAGTGGAATAATCTCGGAGGGCCCGTGTGCAAGTTGTGCACGTTAAAGATCCCTTGGTGGTCTAAAACCGATAAGAGTAGGCTTCGGCCGCCACCCGGGCAAAATTCAAAATTTCCAACCAACTGAAAAAGTTTAATGTGTCCCGTGCGCTCATATGACCTTATGCAGTTGCCAGAGCCGTAAAAATACTTACAAAAACAAAACAGTGGAATTGCACACATTTTGTATCATGCTTGAATGGGCAAGACTAAGGTGTCTATGATTCATCATCTTTACCCCCTTTCTTCCCTTTTTCTGTCTTTACTCTTACTACTTTGCTAAGCATCCCACCTTTGAAAAGACCTTCTAATGTCAGGTAAAGCATTACAAAGTCACAGCACACTTGTTATTGAGTTCACGTGAGACAAGGTCCTGGTATATTTGGAGCTGACCAGTATAAATATTTATATTTTGGATCATAAAAACAAAAACCCAGTATTTCAACAGAATCGGACAAAAATAAATAGAACCTAAAATGGTCGCTTTTAAGGACAAGCCCGGTAACCCAGATTTCGGGGATCTCCAGAAATCTTGACATACACCAAAAGTGGGCATTGCCCTACCTAGAGGAGAAGTTTGGTTTCATTGGTGTGTATTTGTATGGCAATAGAGAAAACTCTCCTTGTCTTTTAACTCATTCGCTACGCCGAGCCGTGGGGGGTGGCGCGGCTAAAGTGCCGAAATACGCTAAGCCGCTCCCGGCGGCTCGAGAACCGACGTTCAATTTTAGCTAGGTTTCTATTCCAATCCACATATCCATGTTAAAATAAAGGTCATAATAAAAAGTTGACTTCCGGTTCAAGCGTTTCCACCGAAAATCGGAAGTTTTGATTCAGTTTTGAAACACGATTTCAAAGTTTATGCAACATTGTTTTATCGCAAAGCCCAAATTATAGCCCAGACACCAGTCTTAGTACTTTTACACAACAAAATGTATCATTATTTTGCTCACTAAAGAAGTGTAGGACTCTTCTTTATAATATTGATACTACTGGACTCAAATTGCCAGTGCACTGTATTTGAGAAATCAATATTTTTGAGTGCTAGATCTAGACCTAGATCTATATAGTCAAAATATTTTTTTTCTCCCCAAAATCACTACCTTTTGGTGAATTTACTCAAAAAGTACCACCCAAGACATGTATAGGTTTATTCCAAATGCAATTCTGAATAATTCCATATAAGATACTAGTGTTTTTTCTGTTTGCGATCCTTTTTTAAAAATTATTTTTAAAAAATTTTTTTTCAATATCGGAGGTTATGATTCAAATGTACAAATATTATGAAATGTATGTAAATAACTGCTCATTTGTCAATATTTTCCTGTTCTATATACAGTTATGGTTATTTTGATGTATAATTTGACTAGGTGCAAACATATTTTTTTAGTTTCATCTGAGATTATTAATTTTTTGTTTTCAAATTTAATCCGCAGCCAATCACTATTGTGTTGCATAATCGCCTCTTACAGGAACCAAAGTTGAAAAATACTCAAATAAACGATACAGATGTATTCTACAAACCATACTGAAAATGTTGGTATATAATATGTTGATATTTATTTGAATTTATGGCCCCCAAGACCTGTGAACTGCGCACTAGTCATCATCTCATTTCGCCCTCCTGAAAAAAATTCGTCCACAAGCCGAAAATAATATGTAGCGAATGAGTTAAAGAAACTGTACAAGAGGCAAAAACTTTACCTTCGATTTTCTCAAAACAGTTTTTTTTGGGATAGTTCCCTTGTGCTTAAAAGCGACCAAACTTAAACCTCTAACTTTCAAAGAATACACAAACTTGAAAAAAGCGTTGAATTTGAGATAATCTCAGCATTTAGCATGGTACTCCAAGACACAAAGACAATAAAAATTCATCTCCCAGCACTCATGTAATAAACATTATTCAAAAAACAATATATCTCACTTCAGTATGCCAGTTCAAAACAAACAATGCATACCATTTTCCAATTCCAGAAGCAACATATATGTCACTTAAAAACAAAAAAAAGTACAACAAACCACCCTTCCACCTCTCAAACTATCCCCCCACCATCCCACCCCCTAATGAAATATGAGTGATTTGGTAAAAATCATATGTAATATGGTATAATATACAATTCAATTTCCTGCAGAACATATATAATATGAAAAACCAGATATTTCTTTTATACAAACAAGTCTCCAGCCACTTATGGAACAGGAGTAAATCTGAAATAAAGTAGATCTTGCTTATAATTCTGTCATTTGCCTACAAAAAAACAAACCCATCTACAAGATATCACAGCTGGGACAAGCACCACATATGACAATTGCTCCATGTATCACAATACAAAGACAGTCATCCTTCTGTACCAGGAGGAAAACATATTGCTTGAACACTGAGGGACTGTTACCAGAGGCACAGCTGTGGAGGGGAAAAAAATGTTTCACATGACAATGCAGAAAAACAATTATAATCACTACAGACTTAGTATGTGATAGCGTTAATTGGTCAAATTAGTTAGGAATTCTTTAAGTATAGTTTTACGGCACTTGCAACAGAAATAAGTCATATAAGTGACAAAGATAAGAGGTGTCACTAGAGATCTGCAAAGAAAAGGGGAGATGAGGACAATAGATGTTTGATAAGAAAGAGGGATCAAACCACACTAGAGCATCCGCCAACCACCTAATTGGATAATATTATGCCCCCCACAAACACAATTTAGGTACTTTAAAGGATAGTCTACCATGGAAAATTATTATCATTACTTTTGAATAAAATACTAAAAAATCTCACGAATAAAACCTTGCTCTTTCAGGGGAAATCAAAGCACAAGGAAATTTTAGTAATCTTTCTTAATCTATTCATTTGAGAAAATAACAACGAAAAAAAAAAGAAAAGAAAAACATGCTATAATCCCAAATGGTAAATCGCCCTATGACCAAAGCCAAGTAAAATAGTTTTACCAGGACTTACCACAAACAACACAAAGCAAACTGTGGCCACTATCACAAGTAGACGGCGGAGAAGGTGAACCTCTGGGACAGAGTGGACAGGGCAGCTCCAAGGCTCCAGCTCACCTCACGGCCAAGGATTTTTTGTTCTACCTGATTCAGGAACAGAGGGAGGAACACTTGTATGAAAAGGTTTTTGTACAATCATTTCCAGTAAGAGGAGGGTTTTTTTTCGAGTTCACTTACTCATTTGAAGCATGTTTTTTTAAATCAAAAGTTAGTATCCTTACAGCAATGTTTTTTTCTTTGTTTTCTGTTTTCATTTTTAAATACAGCATTCAGTCTTCAAATAAACAAAGAAAGAAGACATTTCAGCTTTAAAAAATCGAGTTCACCCTTCGAAACTGCGGTTAATGGAAAAGCAACTAATAAATTCTTGTTAAAACACCTAATTTTTTTTTCTCTGAATGGAAAAGAAATGAATGTTACTGTCATTTTGAAAACTGCAGGCTTTACTCACATGGCACTGCCTGTCAGGGGCCAGACCAAAACCCTCAGTCAACATAGAATAAATGTACAACAGATCCATACACAGGAAAGGGTACGCCTCTGACATGTTTTCCTTTACACAATCTGAAAGAGAGAAACAAGGGGCTATGGCAAAGATGAATCAAAAGGCCTAAGGTAAACTATTGCAAAAGGGGCTCCTATCGCTGGGTGTGAGAGGCACAGGCTATATTTCAACAATATACAACCATGCTTACCAACCTGGAAAACCTCTTTGGCTGTCAGGTCATTTTAGTGGACGGTGGGGATCACCCAAGTATTGACAGGTGGTAATTAAAGCCCCACTTGGAAATATGTGTAGGTGGGCGGTATGAAAAATTTAGCCTCTCAAAGGTGGCAAATTTAGGCGCTGGCCATACAAAAGTTGACAAGCACCAGTTTACACACAAACAAAAATCAAGGTTCTTGACAAAATCACTAAGAGGAAACTGAACAAAAGGGCAAAAATGAGGCAGTTCAAGAGCACCCAAGGAGAAATATGACAAACTGGCAGAAGACCCAACAGATGAGAAAACATTACTGAAGATGAAAAAAAAAAGCTGTTGATATAACAGTAGACCTGTGTATACACATCACTGACAATATCACAATGGTCATCCTTTAAGTACATACTTTCCCTCAGGAATCTCATGTCTTTCATGCAGATCGAAGGCAATCCAACTTCCAAAAAAGGAAATAACGTTACATAATGCTACCAACTTACAGTGTTCAGCAGCTTGTAGAAAATCAGCGGGTGTCATGAGTTTATGTGTGGCACTTTCTGGGATCAACCCCGCCCATCTGGCCACATCGAAATAGTAGGAGAATAAATGTAGTTCTCTTTGATGCAGTTGTTTGTTCTTGATAAAGCTCCCTTTGTGCACAAAGTTGTCTACAGCCTGTTTACAAAGCTTCAAGCCTGAGCTGGATGTGGATGTGCCCCTGAGAAGAATAAACACACACATATTGGATTGGAAAAGATTTGTGAGACTAAAGTGAACCGCCAGATCAGTTTTACAGATTTTGAAAAATATTTGAAGTGTCATATGGGAAAATAATGCTGCAGAACAAAATAGGCCAAGTATAAACACTTTTACAAGATTAGTTAATATAATACTTCTAATGGAAGAATTTTGAGACTAAGGTTAATTGACAGATGTTTACAAAATTTGAAAAATATTTGAAGTGTCTTACATTGCAGAATCTGAAAACAAAACGTCCCTGTCATCTACATGATATTTATCATTTTGAATAAATATAAACACTTCTACAAGATTAATGAATATAATAGTTCTTATAGTAGGAGAAGAAACATACTAAAAATCTGTATCTAGAAATAACTCTTTGTAGTAGTTCTGAAGACTTACTCAAGGTCTCTACACTCCCAATCACATGATTGAAAGATTGTGGGTTCAATTCCTAGTTTCCAAGTTGTTCTGGATTTCACATATTGTTCTATAAAAAGACAGCACATTTTCTTTCCTCAAATCCCACCCAGGTGCAAAGTGGCTACTGGCATCCTCTATGGGGGTGGGGTTGGTAGAGATACAGCCTGAAGCCTGACATGCATTTATCCTGTCTACAACATGATTTTGGTTGGGTTTTTTTTCCCATTTCATGCTACAGAAAGCATGACAAACTCAAACTCCATGGGCCTTCATAGCACACAAGAAACTTTACCTTTTATGTACTCACAAGAAAATAGTCTCGTGCAATGAACCCCTAATCATTTGTTGCCTCATATCCACTCTTAGACTTCTCATTATTTCTTCACGTAAAATAGAGGGTGGTAGGCCGGTGTGCTGATGTACTTGTATGCTTTTTATATGGATCTTTTCAGTTATGCTGTTGTGGTTTGTGGTGCATGTGGCCTCTAATTGTGCCCATGCACCACAAGTGAAAACATATTTCAACTAAAATATTAATTGATAATGCAGCTAAACTATCATAATTGACCTAAATAAACCCATTCACCAGCTGAGTAAGACCCTACAAATACAAGATTCAGCCCACATCAACTCACTTGACCAGAAAAATGTGTTCTCCGTGGCGCCAAGTTGTGTTGAACTCTGCCGGGAAACACGGAGACAGCAAGACATTTCCGTCATCTTCTGCCTGCTCCGACAATCCAGCTGAGAGTAGATAACAAAAGAAAATTTTTCAATCAAGAAAATAAATTCATAACCTTCAAAAACTTTAAAACTTTCTCTATGTTACAATGAACAATCTGAAATTGACGTATAATGATTGCACGACATTTTAAACTTTTTATCTCTTGGCGGCTTGCCACTTACCACTTCGAAATCAAATTACTTTTCCATGGTCTCTTTTATCGGGGTTTCATTCATTAGATAAAGAACTATCAAAATAGGTTCACTTGTTTTGATTTAATTACCAATTTAGCGACGATTTTGTCATTTTTAGATTAAGTACCAAAAACAGGCCCCAGCATAGTGGGTTTACCCCCCTTGGAGATAAAGAGTTAAAGAAGTTAAGAATAACAGTAAAAAGAGATTGCTGAGTTGTATTTCTTTAACCAAGACATGCTTAATGGCTCTTTAGTTTAATAAGATCAGCTCTTTCTGGCCATACTGCCTGAGACAATCTTATTTTATCAAAATTAACTAGAGTTCAGCAAAGGAAATGCGAGGACTTTAAAGTGACATATCTCAATAAACACTCCAACAACTGGTATTAATGAGAATGTCCTATTGATCCAGAAACTGTCGGGTCTTACCAAAATGGCCTTCCCCTCTCCCCATGATGCCAAGCCGCCCAGACTTTAGACCACTTCCAAGGTAACTGTTGAAAACAATTCAATTTTTTTTAAATTGTGAGGAGACAATGATGGTGTGTGGAAGGGGAAGGGCAGGGGCAGAGAGATAAGGGGGGATTTTTAAAGGAATTTGCCATGTTTGTAATGCAGCAGTTTCTTATGAACATGCTTATTAATAGTGACTAAGCCCTCTTATTTTTAGCACCATGCCGAATTCATTCGCACCATTTACAACACTTATGTACTTTAAGCAAGTCATTTTTCTTGATGAAACAAAATAGCATTTCAATTCATATTAGGACTGCAAAAAACATTGCGGTTAACGCCTGCACACGATTTTAATTAAAAACTGTTTCTTCTGTCTTCAAGACTCACAACATGCAGTATTGGGTCAAGACCACTCTTTCTCCTCCCTCTCCTCCCACGTGAATCTGAAAGCAGATTCCCCTCCACAGGCTACAATCTAATATGTGATACAAGGTGGTGAAATCAGGCACTCGTCAATTTTTGGGCATATGGGGTATCGGTATCATCTTAAAGCCTATTAATTTGCCTTTCTTTTGATGAAAAAAATATCCATCTATGTTGAATAGAAGACGAAATATTTGCGACTGAAGGAGGTCAGGGTCGCCTGGTTTCAGAGGTAAAGTTTGCGAGAAAATGGCCGCCAAAGTTTGGTAACTTCCATAGCCTGAAAGTCCTTGGAGACTGAGAATTTACATTTTTTGTGCCTTTACTCAATATTTTTCAGTATAATCAACACAAAATTATTTTTATTAACGGACAAAAAAGGGAAAATGAGAAAAACATTACCAATAGGCAAAAAAAAATGCTGATTTCTTTGATTTCATTATTTTGACGAGCGCCTGATTTCACCACGCTGTCTCACATATGTTTATCAGACTGTTTTACACCATTACCATGAAAGCATGTCTTTGTTTAGCTGACAACCTGGAGACCTGAAATGAGTTACCCTTGGGGGGAGGATTCTGTGAATTTCTATACTATTTTCTTTCTTCAATTATTCAGTAATTCAAATTATCTTGATATCGTCACCTGGCCCATGACAATGAGTCAAGGAATCAACATGAACCTTCATAAGCAGGTAGAAGAAATAACTCGCTGTTGCTGAAGTTTAACATAAAGCTAGACATACACTGTTCAACATTTGAAAGGCAGAGAAACAACTGATGAATGGAAGTAAAATAAAGGACAAAAGTGGTAGTAGGATGTAACATCCTTACCTGTATGTAAACACAAGGAAATAAGCTTGCAACAGTTTTAACTTGTACAATTCTCTCACTTGAACATCGGATAGATTAGCCTGCAAATAAATCAAATGACATTGGTAAAGGTGGAAAACTGAAAGAAAATTAATTTGCAAGAGGCTTTTTTTTTGTTAGGAATATCAATGATTTTAAAAAAACTTGTTTTTTTAATACATCCATTCGCCATCATTTTCTGTAACTGGAATTTTAATTTTCAAAGGTGCCACAAACATGAAACCAAAACTAGTTTTAAATGTGAGTTTCAAAATAGCAAGTGTATATATGCCATATAAAAAAAAAGTTACTGTATTGCACCAAAACCGTATCATCCTCTGTCAATTCCACATTCCTATTTTAAAAATATAGATAGATTAAACACAGCACACATGAGGAGCACAATTAGAATTAGTTGTTCCTCTTACTTAGATGATACGTTACCACTTCATTCATCATTACAATCACTGCTACAGAATACTTCAGGTCCATGCAATAGCTGTCAAATGAGAAAGTATATGGGTTTAACATCCCTATTCCTATCAACACTATTAGGCTATTTAGGAGGAAGACTGCCAAATGAGCTCAATGTAACTATACTACAACCGAATAGGGTATAACTGAAGAAAACAAAAGTGAAATTAATATGAGAAAGTGAAAAAGAAACAAAATCATTTATAAAAACTTGGCTTACGTTATCTGAAAGTTCAAAGGTCACTTGCATGGATCCACCCCCTAAGTCAAATGTCGCCACTGTGTTATCAGGGTCACTATCCCACAATACATCTGGAGACAAAAAGTACACAACTCTTAACTCATGGAGAAACGAGAAGTAGTTCGAGAGACCAAAAATTTCAGCAAATGCTTAAAGAGTCATAAAAAAGATCTCAAAGTAGTCAGTCTTTTTATTATTAACAAATGAACAAGGACAAGGACAAATCAGCATGTCAACTAAGCTTATAACAATGAAAACTGCAGAAAATATATTGGTCACAGAGCCTATACATTAACCAGGAAATTATGTGTATTATTTATATTTTCATGAAAATGTAACATGTCATCAGGTTTTTTAGAAAAGTGAAAAATAGTAAAGTAACTGTGTACATTAACAAGATTAGTCACAAGACTTTCTTAACATTTGATAAATACCTACATAGAGTGTATATCTGAAAAAATAAACTAGTAAAAAAATAACTCTTATAACAGTGATAATGTACAGGCTGTGGAAAAAATAGGCATCAACTTCACATCGAAAAGATCCATCCCTTTCATTTCCAAATAATGGCACTCTATCAATTTCACTATTATTATCATACTAATATTATGATAAACAACTCTCTCCTAAAGTCTTATGAATAACAAACACGATTTTAGTGAACTCACCAAGTAAAAAGTTAACCGTCACCCAAGCAAAAATGCCTGAAACAGAGTAAAAATTTTAAGCCAAAAAATATATATGAAAGAGAAAGACTCCTTATTGTCTCAGCTGAAATTATGAAAAAGAGGAAACACATAGTTGAATAAAAATGATAAATCTTAAAAAGATTATTATATCTTTACACTTAAAATCCAAGTTGACTGACCCAAAAGACATGGAAAGCAGCAAGTTGGTACACTGACAAGACATGCTGACAGATTACAAACTGAGATATTTGAATTTGGAAACCAGAAAAAGAAACAAAGAAGTATAGCTGCTATCAGAGATGCAAATGACCACATATAAATAGCATGAAAAAAATGTTTAAGTCCATCAAAAATAATTACTGTGGTTTCCTTCCCAGTCAAACTGTAAAAATACAATTCTAGATAAAGCCATAATATATAAACAAAAAATGCTAATAAAAAAAGCTGAAACCTCATTTACAGAAAGGTCTTAGAAATTCTCACCTTCTTCCTCTCCTCCCATCACCATAATTTTGCTTGGGTCTGGAAGAAGAAAGGGGGAACTCTTCATAAGGTCCCGTACCTGCATAAAGAGTAAAAGACACCATGCTTATCAAAAGTATGTGCAGCCATTTCACTTTCGGATTTTCACGAAAGCAAAAGCCTCTAAAGTGAATAAATGCATCATTTACATTTATGTAAACAAGCAAACATGTGTTGTTACGTTTTTCTTGTGAAATACATAACAAATTACAAAGATCCATGTCAAAGAACATTAACGTCTAACCCATACAATATTGCATTTTAATTCTTGCCCTCGTTTTTATTTCATCTTTCTCAACACGTTTCCTTTAGTCAGTTTGCTTTGGAAAAGAAAGTTACTTAAATTGAAGAGTGCCTCAAACCAAAAAAATAGTAAAATACACTAGCTGAAGAGGCACTGTACGTTGACAAAATTCTGCAAAAACATCGGCATTTGGGATTTGAATCTGAGACTCGTTCAAAGTTTCCTTGACTTTCCCATAAAGTTACTCCTTTTCCAGCATTCTCACAGGTGACAATAGATTTTGCATTTGGAACAACTTAAATTGTTTCTTATACACATGTAATAACAATAAATTAATAAATAATAGGATGTCAACTTCACCTTCCAAAAACTTATTTTCATTACGAAGAAAAAAAATTGTTACTTTACATTCTGCACTTGGTTGAATCCATTGAACAATCCAAGTTTCACTACCATGAGACAACCTTGGACAAGAACCTCTCTTTCAATAAAGTTCTAGTACGAGTTTTGCAGTACTTGTAACGCAATAAGGTCATAAAAGTGCAGAAGACTAGAGGTGTTACAAAAGAGTAACAAACACAAAAAAAGAAGGATGGGAGATCAGGATGATAGATGTTTGATAGGAAAGGAGCAAACCACACCAGAGCACCCATCAAACACCCACTCTTCAACTTTATGTTTTTCCACAAATGATAGATCGGAGTACGAACACGTCACTTTCTTAATACAACTCCATGAAACTTGTGTCCTTAAAAGAGTTAAATATATTACAATCACTCTTTCGAAGACGCCCACCTGTCTAAGACAACAACTTTTCTCCTCGACAATGGATGGAAGACTTAGACAATGTCGATAGTACATTAAAAAGGGTAAACAAAGCCCTGTCCCGGCCACAGCTCACCTCTGCCATGATCTGGTCTCCTTTCTCTTTGGGCAGCAGTCTCAGTCCCGCTGTGGCCTTCAAGGTGATCAGGGTCGCATTCTGCTGGCCGACCGGTACACTGGACACAGCTTTCTGCAGTAGGGGAGCCAAGCTGTCAGCCGCCTGGCCGGACAAAATGTGCAAATACACAATTAATCAAGGTCAAATCAACCACTATTTCAGTATAAGTGTTGCTTTTTTACATTCCAGAAAAACAGAAACATATTTTTATCACTTCAAAGTGAAATCAACCCCTACCTCAGTTAAGTTTTCAAAGTAAAACAAACAAAATATTGAGTTGTCATTATATTATAGTCATCTGAAAAAAGCTATGTATGTTTAGAAAGATTTCTGAAATCCACTGACAAGGAGAACTTTTGCAGAAAATGCCTCCTCCTTTCTGTCAACTGCTGCCTATGTCAGTTATTTACACAAAGAGAAATACAACCACTCATTTTTAAGAACTTCACAGCACCATGGTGTCTTTAGCCTTCTTTTCCCTCTATCCCCGGTAACAGTAACACTGCAGCCCTTGACTCCTCTGGTCCAGCCAATACGGATTGTGTCTATTATTTTTTGTAGACCAAAGCATTTTGATACAGCTTTTCTCTGAAGTTTTAGAAGATGACACGCAGAATTTTTCTCAGAGAGAATTGGCCAAATTACAGTAGAAGTGCGCGACTGGGTTGAGATGGCTTGCACCCTGTGTGGGTAAAGTGTATACAATTGAGTTTGTCGGAATAAGAACTTATTAGGAAAATATATACAACTGGGGCTGAAAGGTTTAAAGCAATTGCTGCAATATTGGCATGGGCAATAGAAACACTGTTTTTAAGTAAAAGCAGACCTCTCCCCTGCGCTGACCTATCACCTACAAAAAAAGGACAGAGACAGACGGTGACAGAGGAAAAAAAATCATGATTAATTCACACAGAACAGAATATTATGCTGATTACCTCTGAGGGAGTTTTTGCATATGATGAAATTCCTGGCTCAATGGCCTCAAAAACCTCACGCTCCAGAAGAACACTTTCTCCCTCCCGATCATCTGGAATAATCAGTTTCATACATTCTGAACAGTAAGTTGAGGAATGCAGATGGAAGGAGGAGGAATAGGAGGAGGAGGAGGAGGAGGAGGAGGAGGAGGAGGAGGAGGAGGAGGAGGAGGAGGAGACACAGAACACAAACATGACCAAGAAGAACATACAGCAACAGGATCGTGCAAAAAGGCAAGACATCAGATAATTAGGTAATCTTTAAACATGGACAAGAAAGAAGTAGGAAGTACCAGTAGCACCCTTTGTTCACAAATTAAATGAAACAACCAAACAGCACTGTGCTATAACACTGAATAGCTAGATTGAAGACTTGAATGCTCTGTCATGTCAATATCACATGCTAAAAGCCTTCAATGATAGATAAATACTTGAGCTAGTGTCACAGGTTAACTTATATAAAAAAGATATAGAACAAATTATAATTGATCGATGTAGCCTACAATGAAGTCAGTCCATAGACAAAATAACAGAATGAATGGTAGAATACTGTGATTTCACATATATTGTAGAAAAGATACCAAATAAGACCAAGAAAGAAAAAACATAAATAAAAAGACTTATTCTTTCACTCATTCACCAGCCTTACACACCCATGAACTTGAATTGGAATCATCGGAAAGGAAAAAGACACCACATAGGAAACGTTTAAAATCAAACTTTTAAAAACTTGTTTGTATCAGCACTCAAATCCCTCTCGCCTATCGCCATTACCTTTAAGCTTGAAGTGAAAGACAAACATGCGAGATCCGGTGCTTCCAGCATCAAACACCACAGAGTAGAGGTCTCCAGAGGGCTGGTCTTGGCGTTGTGTCGCAGGTCCGGTCACACTCTCAACATCAACGCTAGACCCTCTGGCACTGACAGTGGGGACAAAAGGACAAAACATTAATATGAGCTCCTTGTGAATGCCACAGGTGGGCACAACAAGTTTATAAGCAGAATTTGCTTTCATTCTGTGTCAAACTTAAGCAAACCCTGTCTATGTGAGGTTAACAATAATTGAAAGGAAATAAATTTTGCCATGTTAGAAAAGTAAAATTTGTATGGCATAATAAAAGAATTTCAATTTCCTGTTTTTTTAAGAACTTGTACATGTACTTCAGGTCATCCCCCACTCAGTAAAAAAAATAAGCAAAACAACAGGCAGAAAAAACCAACAATCTCCCTATTCCCCCTACCAAGGACAAAAGTCTAAACCAAGTCAACCACGCCAGTAGGACACAACGCCATTAGCTCAGTCGGTATTACGTTGGGCTACAAGCCGATAAGCCCGATTGGAATTTCCAAACGTCAGTGAATATCTGGGGAGGTTGTTTTTTTCTATAGTTTTTTCCCATTGAAAGGTATATTAAACACTAACCATACTCTATAGTACAGCTACTCCCAGGCTCACCTGTAGTACCCAGGGTGGACGGAGTACAGAGCCGCCAACAGCACCACGCCCACAGTGGCCATCACAACATTCCTTCTCCTGAGATAGCCATGAGGCTCCTCCGCTGTTGCTGATGTTGCTGTAGTGGTGGTGCTTCCCCCAGTCTGATTCCTGCATCTGTTCATCTCAAGACCAGGTGGGATATGGTCAAGGCACTGTGGTCAACCTTGCCTTTATGAATAAAGAATGAAAAAATAATTAGTTTCAATGAAGTTCCCTTCATTGACTTACACTAGAAAAATTGGTAGCTTTGCTGCGTTGAGTTCACACAAAGATAACCATATTTTCCAAGGTTAAGTCCTAGTTTAGAGCACTTCAGTTAGACATCTGCCAAACTTCACCAGAAAACATATAGAATCATAATAAAACTGGATAAAAATGACCATATCGAAGCGCACACAAGCTGCCATCTGGGATTTGGATTACTGAAACTGAAAGTAGAAATTTGAAACTAGAAACATAAAAAAGAGTATCAGTTTTGATTTAACAACAACCCCCCACCCCCCCCCCCCCTTTCCTCAAATAAGAAACTCTCTCTCTCTCTCTTACACAGACACGTGTGTGTGTGTGTGTGTGTGTGTGTGTGTGTGTGTGTGTGTGTGTGTGTGTGTGTGTGTGTGTGTGTGTGTGTGTGTGTGTGTGTGTGTGTGTGTGTGTGTGTGTGTGGCAGGTGGGTAGGGGGGGGGGGGCTCTTACCTAGTACTCAAACACGATTCAGAATTTAGACACAAATAGCCCGGACAGAACGAGAATCAAATCGGATCCCATTTAACCCAGACTTCCAGCTCGCGGCGTGTGGCTCAAGTCCGTAGCCACCTGCTCCGCAATCAGTTTTATTATATACACGAATTATGAACAGAAGGATGAACAACGATAACGCTGTTTCGACTGACTACATTGCCATCCAGTCTTATGCCCCAGCCAACATGTGGGTCATTAAAATCTACCTAACGTAATACACGTACACAAACGATATTACATCGTTCTGGAGGGTGCAGCTGTAGCAGTATTTCCACCGTTGCTGAGCAGCTGTTTCTACTTCATAGCTCACACAAAAAGAGGCGTGGCTTCATGCAGTTATGCAAAATAGAAATAACCATTAGCGGTGTGGTCCCCCAACGAAAAAATAAAGTCCGTTGTAAACAAACAAGCACATGATAAATATGCACAGAGCTGTAACGCTAAAATCTTTCTCCGCTACGATGGGCATTTGTGATTTTTTGTTTTTATTTTAGTAAGATTTTTACGGCGTTTGCAACTGCATAAGGTCATATGAGCACCAAGGGGTGGATGTCAACAGAGAAGTCTAAACGGGGAATCAGGTTTTCTCTGCTCACCTCTCCAGCCTCAACAGCACAAAGTCTGCTTCGACTATCAAGGCACCCCGTAAATAGCAGTTCACAAGAGAGTGACAAACATACAAAAGAAGTAGAGGCAAAATGACGACTGTAAGGATTAGGAAAGAAATAGCAGCAGTTCCCCGTGTTGTCTCGGCACAGTATGAGCATGACATTGGCAAGTCAGCCCATTTATAATTCTACTGTGCATGCGAACATGTTAATATCTCCTTTTTGGGAATGGCCTAAAGACACATAATTTGTGGTTTAAGAAGGCCGACAAAGAAACACAACGACACAAGAACTGACATTTAACTCCAAGGAAAAAGCATGAAAAAGGAAACAGCTAGTAGAAAGAAAAGAAGTGCGCGCCTTCCAACCCCACCCATCCCACCTTCCACAACTGTTATAGTTTTAAGGCGTTGCACATTGTAAGACTGATATCTCCTTTATGCATCAATATCCATGTTTGATCGAGTAAACACATTGGGCCACTTACACTTGTATTGACTCTTTTGAGACAGTAGCGGACACATAAATATATGTCCGATCAGCAGCAGACCAAAGACAATGTTGAAGCACATTTCGGTGCACCATACATGGTAGATCAGAATCGCGAATTTACATATAAACAGTTTGCAGTTTGTTGCCTGTCATTTTCAACCGAATTGGAAAACAACGAATTCATGGGGGTGGGGGAGGGGGTGTATTTCAAGAGCACCAAAACAGTGAGGCTTCAAGGGTTGTCAGATCCTCAATGAGTTAACAGATGAAACTGTACCTTTACTGTCCATTTGTGAAGTCAGCTTGTTCGTATTTACCCAGTTGCCTGTTATGTGTTGAACAAATGCACTCGGGCAAAGTGACGTCAAGAGGAAAATCAGAAATAGTGGGATGTAGAAATATAGATCTTATTTATCGGAAACAAAAGTCGTGATTTTAGGACA